GCCAGCCCTGAAATAGGGTCTTCTGGATAGGATCAAATGCATCCATATCTGTTTAGGTTCTATTCTGTGATTGGTGTTATGCAATTTCTCATCTTTAACTTTCAAATTAAATCAACCCCCTTAAAAAAAAAGTCAAGTACCTATACTGTATGCTCAGAACACGTTGCTAGACCCTGAGAAAGTCAAGAACATGGGTAGTTTAACAGAATCTAGGTTCCCTTTTGTGCAAAACCATAATTAAGATATTCAGTCAGACTCTTAATTTACTGCATGAGTATTTATTGTGAACAAAACTGATGATTAACAGTTGCTTTGCGGTTGGCAATTTGCAAAGAGTTGTACAATTCAAATGGCCAGGAAAGGAAAGTATAGGTGTACATGCAGGTAGGAAGACAAGTGTTTTCTTTCTTGGGAGTGTCAGAGTTAAAGGGGAGAAAAATATGAGCCCCTGGTGCTTGCTGTAAGTCTTCTGCTCCCTGTGGGCAAACAATGGCCTCCAATGCTGCTTTTTGTGGTACTGAGAATCAAACCCATGGCCTTAGGCATATGAGGCAAGAATTCTACTAGTGAGATATTCCTAGCCCTCTGTGATAATTTTTTGAGGGCCTTGTGCTATCCTGGGATGATGGAGCCTGCTGACCTTACACACATCTTCAGAAACTGGAAAGACTATATAGGATGAAGGCCTTTAAAAATGTGCCCCACTGCCTTTGCCATTGAGTGGAGCAAGAGGGGCTTGCCATCCCTGCACTTTCCACTTGGAGTCCTCCCTAAGCTGGGCTCATCTCTGCACACATCTCTGTCTCTGGCCAATCAGGCTTTATGTTAGATGGAATAAACAGCTTCCTGGCTTCTTCTCAGGCAGCTTGTTTCCAAGCCAGGGTTTGTTTGAGGCCCTGTTTAGATATTGTTAAAAGTAGGCAGCTTAGCTTAGAAAGGTCAGCAGGAGAGATGAGAACAAAAAGATCTTTCAAACTGGCTACTCACAGGGCAGCTAGAAACAGCCCAAAAAAGCCCTAGCTCTACCTGGCGCAGACAGCTTTAGGCCTGGGCTGACATTGCTCAGGTTGGTAGTCAGCTCTGGGGTACTTGAGAAACCCCAGATAGTCTCAGAGGGGCATGCTGAGGTAAAGGGCATCAGAGGCTGGGACGCCAGGTCTCCACACTCCACACTGGAACCTCTTCTTTAAAGACACTCAATAAAAATTGGGATTTATTCAAAACAAGCCTGAGGGTGATGATTTGCTTTGTAAAAGTATTCCTGGGAGCTGGGAATGTAGCTTAGTGGTAGAGTACTTGCCTAGCATGCATGAAGCTCTGGGTTCGATTCCTCAGTAATACATACACAGAAAAGCTGGAAGTGGCACTGTCCCTCAAGTGGTAGAGTGCTAGCCTTGAGCAAAAGAAGCTCAGGGGCAGTGTCCAGGCCCTGAGTTCAAGCATCAGGGCTAGTTAAAAAAAAATATTCCTGGGAGCTTATTTAATAGATGCCAAAATCTAATAGATTTAAAAATAGTGAAAAGACACACCTTGGGAATGCAGGCTCCCTTTAAAGTGCAGTACTGGCTCCTTGCTTGGGGTGCACTGGTGGTGATAGCCCTGGGAGACATCATTCCTCCCCTACCACACCCTCCACCCCCAGCAGTATTTGCTGATCCAGGAGTGATGCTAATGTGAAGACTAAAATCTGAGTTCACAGTGGCAAAGGGAAAGACAGTCCTTGGGCTAGAGTAGTAAAAGGACATAGTCACTCTTGGCTTGAGCCTCCTGGTAGCAGCCGGGACCAAGCTGCCAGAGAGAAGGCTGGCAGGTAGCCCACAGAGTGGAAAATCACCCAAGGTCCCAGGAGCTGCAAGCCTCCTCTGGACTACGCAGTCCTGTGTAGCCCCAGGGGCTTGTTCTGTGTAAGCCTGAGGATTTTTTTTTTTTTTTTTTTTAGCTGCTAAGCTGAGCTCTCCGTACATAGAGATCGTAGCACCATTCATTTCCTCTCTGTTCTGGGAGCTCATGAATCTTAATTCTCTCATTTGGTGAAGGCTGGTACTAGGCTAAACCCTCAGCTGACCAGGCTGGCCTGGGGTTTACCCAGTCAAGCTTGAGTTATTTACTGAGACAGAGGCCTTAGTGGGATTAAAGAGAGTTCTCTGCTCCTCAGGCCTGTCCCTGGGCTTGGTTTGTCTATCAGGGGATCCTGTTCTTTTTTTTTTTTTTTTTTTTTTTTGGAGTCCGGTCATGGGGCCTGAAATCTGGGCCTGGGTGCTGTCTCTCAGCTCTTCAGCTCAAGGCTAGCGCTCTACCACTTGAGCCACAGTGCCACTTCTGGCTTTTTTCTTTTTTGCTTATGTGGTGCTGAGGAAATGAACCCAGGGCCTCATGCATGCAAGGCAAGCGCTCTACCACTGAGCCACCTTCCCAGACCAAGGGAATCCTGTTCTTATGTCATCTCTGTGGCTGTGGCTAGGGCTGGGGCTGGTAGGAAGCAGATGGACACAAAGCTGGAGGACTCCTATTTGGTACTTCTGTCAGCTCCCCTAGTCATTAGTTCTATGCAAAACAATGTTAGTTAAAACATTGGTAAGCTCCAGATGAGAAGGAGAAAGGAAAATAGTATTTCGTGAGCTGCTACCACATACCTAGATGTGCTTGGACTTTGTGTCTGTTTTCTTCCTGGCTGCTCTATGGGAAAGATGAATCCTCCAGACGCTTAGGAGACTAGCATTTACCCTTGTGTTCCCAAGGGTATAGATTTAGGCTCTAAATGTACCACTCAGTTTCATTGCCAGATTATTCCTTCTGAAACCTGGCTTAGGCTAGGAGGACTGATCTCTGGGGATTGTCAAGGCTAGTGGCTCCCAAACTTGCAGACTTGGTTAAAAACTACCCCAAATGCTGGACCGCACGTGAGTTTCTGATTCAGAATTTTGGAGGTCTCAGAATTTGTATTTCCAGGAAGTTCTTAGGATAATGATACTGCTGTTCTGAGGTGGGGGGTAGGGTGAGGAATGTGCACACCTTGAAAATGGCTGGTCTCAACCATCCTTTAGAGATATACAAGGTAGTTTTAAGTGATATACTAACTTCTACTTTTTGTTTTTGTTTATTTTTTGGTCAGTCCTGGGGCTTGTGGAGTCTCATGGACTTTTCTGCCTGGGCTGGCTTTAGACCTCCATCCTCAGATTTCAGCCTCCTGAGTAGCTAGAATTACAGGTGTGAGCAATGGCGCCCAGCTTAAACATTACTTCTTTAATATCTAGGCAAAGAAAACAACTAGCACAACCCATGGTTTCTAGTGTCTTTTATTAAGATGAGATACCTACTAAAATAAATGAAATTATATAATAATGAATAATACTACTAGTTATGTGAGCTAGTGGTAAAAAAAAAAAAAAAGTAGTGCCTGGGAGACACTAAGCTAAACAAGAAGTATTCATTTTACAGATGAGGAGACCTGTAGAGGTGAGCCTGCTTTCCTGGGTCACATAGCCACAGAAGCAGCATCTGGACTTGAACCAGCTCTAAAGAGGTTCCCTGTCCTGCTCTCTACCCCTGATTCTTCAGAACATTGGACAGGCTTGGAAGGTTGTCATTCTCAGCCCTAAACATAAACATCTACATTTATAATATTAGTAGTTTGCATATTTTTTTTTTTTTAGCAAAAGTCTTGATCTGTAAAATAGTCCTCTAGGGCTCCTAAGCCCCAAATCTGGGAACCTTGGAGAGGTGAAGAGAGCCTCCTGTGGCATCCTTGACTGCCAGCTTTAGCCTGCCTCCCTCTGCATTCTTCCTTTTTTATATTTGCTGTCCTGGCAGCCTCTGCTTTTCCATTTGTGGTGTGATCCAGGGAACCCCCTGAGCCGGGCCATCCTCAGACATCTGCTTCATAGCAGGAGCTGGATGGAGCTGAGCTTCTGGATGAGCCTCAGGAAGGCATAGAGTGCTGGTATCAAGCCAGTTTATTCCGTGGAAAGTGACCCCATAGGTCATTTCTCTCTAGCTTCAGAAGGGGAATTAATCGGCATGGTGAGCAGGCATGGGAAAGGTCTGACTTCATGGAGGAAGTAGTAATGTTGAGTTTTGGATGATGAAGGTAGGACTGTTGAAGGCAGTGGAGAAGCCTGTCTCAAGACTGGACATCATCCAGAAATGATTTGCTTGAGTTGTGGTTGCTGAGAAGGGGCAGAGATGAGGGGCAGCCTGACAGTTTTGGCAGGTCATGCAGGAGAGCCAGCTGGATTCTCTGAGCCCTGGGTGGTCATGAGAGGATTCCCCCAGGTATCCAGGGCTTTAGCCTTTGCCTGTCATCTACACACCTCCAGTGTCAGTGGGAGCTGTTTTTTAAAGCTCCCACTTTACAATGAGTTGTAAAATAAGCTTAGTGGACTGCAACCTTGTGCTTTTAAAAAGCAGAGTAGGGGAAAAAGTTAATGGAAAATGTCAGAGTTGACTGTATGTAGTTTTGTGTCAAGAAACCTGTTTTGTGTAAGCATATGCAAACACTGTATTGCAATGTGAGATATGTTTCTCGCTGTGAGTCACACTGAGACAATCCTGCTTATCATGTCAAGGCACAAAGGGCTGATGGGAGGGAGTGGGCCAGGCTGGCAGGATGAGGCAGTCCAGAAATGAGGGTAGATTCCAGTATGGACTGCATTCAACAGGTGAAAGATGGAGAATTGAGGCTGACACAACTCAGAAAATCTGACATAGCTCAAAACACTTGGGCAAGATGCCATCTTGTTTGCAGTACTCAGTCTGAGGACTCTTTTGGTGGTATACCAGAAACTGAGTTGCTGAGGGCTTTAGGAGAGAAGAGTCCTTCCTCCTCTTTGCTTCTTAATGTCCTGGGTGTGTAGACTGGGAGTTACAACTCTGCCTTTTCATCCCAGTGACTGAGGTATTCAAAGAAAACTCACACGGACAGGCTATGCCTTGGGTTTGCTGCTTGTGGAGGGTGTCTGGAGCTAGGCTGGTGACAACCTGCTTCTGTTGTTTTCCTCCAGAAACATTGTGAAGGGAATGAGGGAGCTCCGGGAAATTCTGCGGACTGTGGAGACCAAAGCAACACAGAACTTCAAAGTGGTACTGTGGCTACTGTGACTGATGTGTTTGTTGGGAGATAACAGATAGCCCTAGATCCAGAGATGGCAGTGTGTTACATGCCTGCAGCTACCCTCCCTTGCTTGGAGCAGACACTGTTCATTAGTCCTTGAGCTTTTTCTCACTCAGCCCAGGAAGCCCCCTTGGCATCAGAGCCCCTAGCGGTTAGGTCAGAGTTGAGATCTGCTGTTCCACTCTTCCCATGAGCAAAGCAAAGTGGTATTGCTCATTCTCAGGAATTTGTTTATGATCTAATAAATGCCATTGGCTCTGCTTTCTTGCTTCAACTCAAGCTTGTATTCTTAGACCTTAGATCCACCAAAGTCAGAGTCACAAACTACTTTTCATGCTAGAGTTTTCAGTCAGCTTTCAGAATCTGAGGCAGCCATGTGGTAGGGAATACTGCCTATGCCTTTAGCCTTCTGCCCTTTCTAGAAGGGCCTGTGGATTCTCTACTTGGGGTCAGGAGGAAGAGGAAATGTGTCTTCCAAGGAGAAGAGAGAGATGAGGAAAGATGGAATGGAGTCTTTCAAGGCGAATGGTTGGGGGGTGGACTCTTGGGAGTCGAGTTATAGGGGCCTCCAAGATAGCAATGTACTGTAAAACAGGCGGATTGGCTAGATGGTAAAGGGAAGAAAATGGAGCTGGGTAATAGCTCAACAGTGCCCCTCTAAGTTCCTCCCTCTCTTCCAGATGGCAGCCAAGCATCTAGCAGGGGTCCTGCTGCATTCTCTAAGTGAAGAGTGCTACTGGAGCCCCCTGTCCCACCCTCTGCCTGAGTTCATGAACAAGGAAGAGAATTCCTTTGTTACGCAGGCCCTGCGGAAACCTCACCTCTATGAAGGGGACAAGTAAGTCCTCCCCCTCCTCCACCCCCGCCCTGTTGGAGCAGGCCAGGCTCACATTGTGCACAGGATCTGTGCCCCTCTGGTGGCTCCTTACTCCATTCTGCAGTCTTTCCCTTTCATCCTGTACCATGGCTTTAGAGTGGGTTTAGGGGAGAATTCTGCAAGGCACCCTCAGGCTACATGGTACTTGGAGATTCTTGCCTTCTTGATAGTCTTCCCTGATAGCTCCCTGCCTTGTTGAGCCTAAAATTAAAGATAGGATCTGTCACAATTTAAAGAATTGTTACTTAGTTTCCCCATGTCTGTCCTCATGCTTCAGTTAGTGCTTAGGGTTCATCAGGCTGTTTCCTCCCCCAGGAGTGTCTCTGCCCTTTCAGATATAGAACTCTGGGGCCCATTTAAGAGCTGTCTATGGTATCCAGTGCCTGTGAATTATGCAGAAGAGGGTCACTTTACTAGGCTAGTCTGCCTTGGGGCAGAAGGCCCACACAATGGCTGGAGGTGCTGATGGTGTGGGCTGGGCCTTAGCCAGACCTGCTGTTTGTGTCTTCCAGTCTCTACTGCCCAAAGGATAACATAGAGGAGGCCCTCCTACTGCTGCTCATCAGTGAGTCCATGGTAAGCCCGCACCTCTGACCTGGGGGAGGGGTTGCATCCCAGGGATGTCCCCTAAGGCAGTAAGTTCTTGTCTATACTTTCCTTCTCCTTGCAAGACAGGCTTGGGTTTGACAGTCCTGGCTACATTGGGAGACCTGGGCTCTGCCTCTGGTGAATAGGAACTGAAGGCACAAGCCTTCTTCCAGGATTGCAAAAGATAATTATGTCTAGGTGCTAACCCTAGCTACTCAGAAGACTGAGATCTGAGGATCTCAGTTCACAGCCAGCTTGGGCTGACAAATCTGAGAGACTCAATTAACCAGTAAAATGTTAGAAGTGGAGGCAAGGCTCCAGTAATAGAGTAACAGCCATGAGCAAAAAAAAAACAAGCAAAAGCACAAGGCCCTGAGTTCAAGCCCCAGTACCAGCACACACACACACACATACACACACACAGATTTTTATGACAGATCAGCATCTGTACTGGGTGTTGTACACAGACACATATAGATTTTTTTTTTTTTGTTTGGTTGTGGGGCTTGAACTCTGGGCACTGTCCCTGAGCTCTTCAACTCAAGGCTAGCACTCTACCAATTAAGCTACAGTGCCACTTCCAGTTTTCTGGTGGTTAATTGAAGATAAGAGTCTCATGGACTTTCCTGCCCGGACTGGCATTGAACCATGATCCTCAGATCTCAGCCTCCTGAGTAGCTAGGATTACAGGTGTGAGCCACCAGTGCCCAGCCACATACAGATTTTTATGACAGGTCAGCATCTGTACTGGATGCTGTGACAGACACAAGGGAGTTCAAGTAGGGAGCCAAAGCAGCCTGAACTTTAAAGGCAAGAGGTCTGAATTCAGGTTCTGATTCTGCCCTCATTAGCTGAGAGCCAGGGCAAATCACTCAATCTGTTTGAGCCTTTGTCTCTTCTTCAGAAGATGATGATAACTCACAGAGGTAAGTATGGACAGAATTCACACATTGATGCAATAGCTAATGACTATCTCTTTTGTAGCTAGCACTGTTCTAGATGCCAGAGCTGTTTCAGCAAGCAAATTGGAGTCTCTGTCCTCATTTTATTCTAGTGAGGGAGGTGGCAATAAATTAATGAACAGTTCCAGTATCCAAGCTGTCTGTGTCCACTATGGAAAAAGAAGAGAGGTGGAACAGAGTGCTAAATAGAGCTCTACCACTTCATCCTCCTAGTCTTGTCTAGATTTCTTTAAATATTTTCAAACGGTTATTATAAAGGTGTTGTATGAAGGAGTTACCGTTTTGTAAGTCAGGTAATGTGTACTTTTCTTTTTGAACCTTGTCACCCCTTTCTTGACTCTCTCCCAGTTTTTCCCTTCTGTCCCTACCCACGGGCTGTATAGTTCATTTTCAATATAATGTCTATTGAGTAAGTTTTTTGTAAGACTAGTTTTCTCATGCCTCGGGCCAGGGCTAGGCAGCTGTGTATATACACAAGTGACCATAATAATAGGCAGTATTTTCTTAGTGCAAGAGTACTGTGGGGGCTCCACAAAGAAGAGCACAAGCACAGCATGTTTGAGTGGACCAGGAGGTGGTAAAAGGACTAGACAGGTATACGGGATATACAGGAAGAAAGCTGTGGAGGTGCTTCCCCATGATTGTGGCTAGCTCCTCTGACTCAATCCGCTCACCTGAAAAGACTACACACAGAGCTCCCCTATACCCCAGCAATCCCACTTCTGGGCATTTACCCCAATGATCACAAACAAGGCCATACTAAAGCTACCAGCACAACTATGTTTATTGCAGCATTATTCACCATAGCTAAGATATGGAACCAATCCAGATGTCTCTCAGTAGATGAATGGATCAAGAAAATGTAGAGTATATATATGTATGTATTTGTCTCTACACACACACACACACACAAAATGCTTCCATCAGAAAGAATGACACTGCCCCATTTGTTAGGAAATGGAAAAACTTGGAAAAAATATTAAGTGAAGTAAGCCAGACCCAAAAAAATATAGGTCTCATGGTTTCCCTTATTTGCAATAAATAGTATATTTCTAGGATAATCTTAGCAGATGAACAGATGATGCTAAGTGAAATGAACCCCAAGATAAGGACACAAGAGGTTTTTCTTTGTTGTTTTTAATATACCATGCGATATTTTCTTGGTTTCTTTTGTATAGTCTCCCTCCTGTGGTATATCCCTGTTGGTACCTTGCATCTTGTATATACAGTTAGCTAATTTGGGGAGGGGAAGGGAAATAACAAAATGCTGAAACAAGGATACAGAATGACAATTGCAGCAATACTCACAAGATACTATGTTGGAAATGAACCTTATAATTTTGCGGGGGCGGGGGGAGATTGAGGAGATAGGGGAGGGAAGGGATAGTGGGAGAAAACCAAGGAGGGGGGTAACAATGCCCAACATGAAATGTACTCTTTAGCTTACTGATGCAACTGTAACCTCTCTGTGCAGCATCTAAATTTTTTAAAAAAGAATCCTCTCATTGCTGATAAGCCAGACTGAAGAACAGTTTTGTTAGCTTGCTGCTTCTGAGAGAGGGTACAGAAGTAAAGGTTAAAAGACCAAGACCCACTGAGTATTCTTTGGACATTTGGCATGGGCAGTACTAGATCTTGTTGAGAGGACTTTGGTGGATGGGATGCCTCTGGATCCATAAGCTTCCAAGTAGGTAGATAGGAGGAGGGATGCTGGATCATGAGCCAGTGACAACATTCTTCCTCAGCCAGGCTGGTCTGTTTGGATCCAAGGGTTTCTGTATTAGGTCATGGGTACTTGCAGCTGGAGTGCCAGCTGGCTAGGCATTGTCCTGAAGGGTATGCTGGATATGTACTTGTGTGGAGAGAACACAGTGCTGATAGCCTGATGTGGAGGTGCCAGGTGCCAGACCTGATTGATGTTCATAGAAGGCCAGGATGTGGTCCTTGCTCTGACCACAATTCTGAGCCTCAGGTTCTAAGTATAGATCCCTGATTCAGACTGGTACTAATCCTCTCCTGCCACTGCACCAACTAGAGTCTCAAGGGAGACTGCACTGGAGTCACCTGTCTGCTTTTGTGGGAAAAGGTTGCCTTCATATGCTGAGGGTTACAGTATAATTCACATCTGGATGGTAAATGGTAAAAAATAGAATTGTTTCTTAGGACCCTTCTCTGCCAAGGACAAGCTAGCCAACTCATTGGTAAGCATTATGTTCAGCCGTATGAAAGTAGTAAGTTTAAATTGTTTGTGACCTGCAAAACAGTTTTGTATAGTTCTGTTAATAATAACCTGTATGTTCTCATCTTACAGATGAGAAAAGTAAGGGCCAGGGCAGGTAGGTACCTTGGTCAAGGTCACATACTAATAAGCCTTATGGTCAGGATTCGAGCCACATCTGTCTCCCTAAATAGCTGCAAAAAGCACAGGTCATGGATCTGAGCTCCAGGATTTTAGACATGGTTCTGACCCTTTCTGTCTGCTCTGATCCTTGGTTTTCTTATATCTAAGAGCTACACAGCAATTCCTGAGGGTTTATGAACAGGGACAGTGTGAGAACAGCCATTTGGGTTTTTCCTGGGCAGGGATCAGCTGAGATCTGTCCCCACCAGCCATTTTCTGTGGCCTCTGCTTGATCTGGGTGCCAGGGGCCAGAGTTCAGATAAATTTCCCTTATGGCTATTTCTCCATCAATACCTTGAGCCTGCTCCAAATTTCAAACTAGAAAATGGCCTATAGAATGGCCTTTTACTTGAAAATACTTGGAGCCTGGTGAATGTTCCTGAATATATACCTCCCTCTTAACAGCTTTTTCCATTTTGCAATAGGGAATGTAGGCTGACCTTTCCAGGAGACCCTGGAGGGGGTGGGGGTGCCACTTGCTGTCCAGGCCTGGTCCTTGGAAATTTCCTATGGCACACAGTCAGAGGACTGCTCAGAGGCCATCTGCATGATCACTGGGAGGAGGCACCTCCATGCACTGGCTAGTTCTTTTCTTCTGTTCACATCCAGCATGTTAAACATTTGGAAACTTGGGGGGTTTGGGAGGATCATTGGCAATGGATTTGACTTTAGTGTCACATCTCCAGGGGCCTTTCTACATCTGTTCTACATCTGTCCACTGGCTCGGAGCAGTTTCTCAGAGAGGATAGACTATCTGTTACTTCTTCCTTTCCTACAGTCACATTCTTGGTCAGCCAGAGGACTGGACTATGGGCCTCACTAGGTCAGCACCACAAGCTTCTGTTCTGAGCCACAAATGCCTCCAGGGTACCCTCAGCCTGATTTCTGTGTTCTGTGGGATTTTTCTCATCTTGTTGCTTCCTGGGTTTGGCTGCAGATGATGAGCCTAAGGAGAAATCTCTAGAACAGCAGCTGGCAGCCTTAGCTACAACTTAGGTTCTGTTGGTGCTTGCAGTAAAAGTTATTGCCAGCCCATCATCATAATCACTCCAAACCTCCAAGGATGTCCCCAGTGCTGCTCCAGGAAAGGGGATTTGCAGGCTTCTAAGCACAGCAGGTCTGGAACTCAGAGGATTATCTGCAGGGCTGGTGTCTTGGATATGGTTTTTGTTATGCATGGACTGTGGTCAGAATGAATGACGGAGCCTCTGTCTTTCAAGATGTAAATTGAAATTACAAATGCTTTCTCAGAAATACAAGGGATATGAGTTATAATGGGTTGGAGAATAGTTGTGTTTTGGACCCAGTTTTGTGACTTTGGAGCCAAAAGAACATTTTAAAATTCATTTACTCACCAACCCACCCTCTCATTTATCTATTCATGCATTCATCTATCCACCCACCCATCACATTCATCCACTCATTCATCCATCTATCCACCTACCTACCCTATTTATCCATCGAATCCTGATTTTTAATTTGATTTTTGTTGTTTGGGTTTTTTGGTAGTTAATTAGAGATAAGAATCTAGCAGGTTTTACTGCCCAGGCTGGCTTAAAATTCTGATCCTCAGATCTCAGCCTTCCTGAGTAGCTAGAATTACAGTCATGAGCCACTGGTGCCCC